GACCAGTTAGTTTACGAGTTGTGGGTGTTTGAAAATTTTTTTCATTTTCAAAAAATTTTGAATTTCGCATATTTTATGAAAATAATTTTCCAGATGTATAAGATGGATAAAATCTATCAAATTTATCTCAAACTTCATTTAATTACCTTCAATTTAAGCTATTATTCATTGACACTTTTTTCAATTTATTGCAATATCTAATATTTGTTGTAGTCGGTCTCATACCGTTATTTGCACAAATATAATAAAAAAAAAATTTTAGGACATTATTGCCTTCACAAAAAAAAGGTTCACTTGAGCCAAGAAAATATTTTTTTTCCTAATTATTTTCTTCAGCTAAAAAAAAATTTTTTTTTTGGCACTAGAAATTTCACTTATTCCAATAAAATTAAATCTCTTGCTTTAAGAAATATGTATCGTGATCCAAGAAAATTTATTCAAGTCAAGAAAAACTTTTTGTTTTGAGAAAATTCAGCCTCTTGCTCCGAAAAATTTAGTTCTTGATAAAAGTAAATTTTCTTGTCTTGAGAAAATTTCTCTCTTGCTCCAAAAAATTAAATATCTCGATAGAAGTAAATTCTCATTAATATTTTTATTGGTTAACATGTCAAATGGGAAGATCAAATAATATTGAATCATTTTTTTTCATTCAATATGTATAATTGTACGCTAAAATAATATAAAATGGGTATCAAATATTCAAGAGAAAAATTTTCTCAGCTGAAGTAAGTGGCGCTGCTTCCCTAAACTATCTAAAAAGAAAAATTTTTACTTCGGCCAACACAAGTTCGGTCTTACTTCAGGCACCCGAAAATTTTCTTGAGCCAAGAATTTTATTCTTCAGTCAAGAAATTTTTCTTTCTGTGTTTTAATAACGTGTTTTTTTTTTTTTTTTTTATTTTTTACTAATATTCAAACAAGAATCTACCTATCCATGTCGGGTGTGGCCGAGTAAATTCTCATTAATATTTTTATTGGTTAACATGTCAAATGGGAAGATCAAATAATATTGAATCATTTTTTTTCATTCAATATGTATAATTGCACGCTAAAATAATATAAAATGGGTATCAAATATTCAAGAGAAAAATTTTCTCAGCTGAAGTAAGTGGCGCTGCTTCCCTAAACTATCTAAAAAGAAAAATTTTTACTTCGGCCAACACAAGTTCGGTCTTACTTCAGGCACCCGAAAATTTTCTTGAGCCAAGAATTTTATTCTTCAGTCAAGAAATTTTTCTTTCTGTGTTTTAATAACGTGTTTTTTTTTTTTTTTTTTTTTTCAATATTCAAACAAGAAATCTACCTATCCATGTCGGGTGTGGCCGAATGGCGCATTTTTTTTTGATAATCTATTATCATTTTTAAGTCTAAATTTTACAAAAATTTTATGATAAATTTCATGGTTCACAATACTTCAGCCTAGAAAAAAGACTTAAAAAATTTTTTTATGACGACAATTGTTCAATATTATTGCATTGAAAAAAAAATTGAAAATTTTGTTCGGTAATTTCATGGAATTTCGAGCTTAATTGAATATTCTGGCTAACAGATGCGAGATATGAGAAAATTGATGAGTGTCTGTTTTGTTTAAAATTAAATTTCCTACAAAAAAATACTCTTATGATTTTTTTGTACCCCCAATATTTAACTCAAGATTTTGGATTTTAATTTCGAAAAGATACGATCTAATCAAACACTTTTGAAATTGAATTACAAAATGAAATTTCGGCTCAATAATATGAGATACTGAAAAATTGATAAGATCCTTTTCTATCGAGATTAAAATTTTTTATAAAAAAGATCGTGTATGATTTTCTCGTATCTTCAATATTTAACTCAGAATTTCAATTTTAAACTTAGTAAGAACTTAAATCTAATCTGACACTTTTAAAATTGAATTGAAAATGAAATTCTGATTCAATGATAAGAGATGAAGGAAAATTGACCAGCTCCTTTTTGGTAGAGAATTTAATTTCCTATAAAAAAGATCTCTTATAGTATTTTCAAATCTCCAATGCTTAATTTCAACTTCAAAATTTTTCAAATCCCACTTCTGACTATCAAAGAAATATAATTGAAAAACAATAATAAATTTTCTGAACATGCTCTTTAATAAAAAAAATAATTAAATTATTACAAATGTAAAAAATCAAGCGAAAATATTTGGAAAGCAAACATTCCGAGAAAGAAAAATATTATTGTTTACCCTCAGTTAGATTTTTTTCCAATCAATTATTCATGATCCCGAATAGACGAAAAGTATCAATCTTCTTTGGGCAGCTTATAGTCTCTCAAGGAAGTATCTAAAGTACAACGTTTGCCTTTTCCTCTTTACTTTATCTCAAGCCTTATCTTTTATCTCTTACATTTCTGATATATATATTTTTTTTTTTTTATTTAAAATTGTTCTTTCTCTTTCTTTATCCGCGAACAGAAATATTGTTGGATTCTCAGCGGACTATCGGGGATATTGAAATTCAAGAGGATGCCGTAGGCAAAACAACTAAGCCACGTTACTTTATCCATGTATTGCAACTTATAAAAATAATAATAATAATAAAAAAGGGAAACAAAAATTTAGTGTACGCATATCCACATCCGTTGATGTTACTCGCGTACTTTACAAACTTCTTTTTAGTAACAGTCTACAAGTTTTCAGTATTGAACCATACCAGTCCCATCTGGATTCTGCGATATGTTCCATGCACTTTTATTATTTTTTTTCGATTATTCTTTCCTACTTTTTATTTTATCCGTCATCATCCTTTCCATTTCTTTAACAAAAACTTTTCTCGATCTCTGCTACTATATCATACCTGTTATTTTATTTCATCCAACAGCCAACAGACCTTAATTTTAATTGTGTTTACAATAAATATTATATTTATAATATTTGCTGTCTTGCAGCGCGAATTGATAGAAGAATTTATTAAGTGTTAAATGGAGAGGGGGGGGGGTGTGAAAACGTAAAAAAATCGAATTTTTTTGCATAAGTTAAAAGCCTCCATTATTGACACTATAAGAGTGATCCTGAATATTTGGAATTTTTTTCATCGTGTTTCAAATCAATTTTGT